GAGACAGGGCAAAAGGCAGGCGTCCCCATGAAGGTTGCTTCCAGGTGAGCAGAATAGCCCAGGCCAGACACAGGGCTCTCTGGGACACGCTGCCCCCAAAGCAAAGTCAGACACCCACAGCTCCACATTCCTCTGCGGTTTGGCTCACCTCTCACCCCTCCAGCCCCACTGTCCCTGACAGCCCTTCACTCGTCCTACCTTCCAGCCAACTTGGACTGGCTCACATGTCTCTGCCACACTTGCATTCCTTCAAACCTTTGCCCACATTCTTCCTTCCACCTAGAATGCCCCCTCCCACCAGCTCTACCATCTTCACAGATCTGGATTCTGTCCACACCTCAAGATGCAAAACTCATGGCACCTCCTCCAGGAAGCCTTTCCCCTTCCTCATCTGGCACACTTGCCTCCCTCCTCTTCCTACCCCACCCCCTTCTAGTGGGCCCCGATCCACTAGAGAGGAAAATGAGCTCCTTGAAGAAAGGAAGCATGCCCGGCACCTCATTTTTTCCCCACAATCCCAGCTCTTTTTCTGGCTCAGGTAGGTGTTCAGACCATCCCTGATGACTAAGCTCAATTATGCTCAAAAACACAGACCAACCCCTTTCCAGGAGTAGGACACACACAGGAACAGGCAATGCTTGGCCCAGGCCCACCGGGCTGGAGAGATGCCACCATTCAGAGGGCAAAGCAGCAGAAGCAAGCGGGAGGCATTTCTGGTGGCTTTCTCTTTCAGACAAGGGACAAGCCTTCTCCCGGTTTAACCCCTCATGACCTTTGAACTTCCCGGGAGGTCAGTAGCACGTCCCCTTCCCCAGCTGTCTTTCTGTCTCCGGCCCGATGGGAGGGAGGGCCCTGGGCCGGTTCCATTTTGTGCCCGTATTGATCTGTTGGCAGCAATGGGCTGGATAATTAGCCAGGAATTAGGGTTTCTATTACAGCCAGGAGGCTGCTCCAGCTGATTTATCACCTGAATAATTTACTGTGATTGAAAGGAAATTAAAATGAACTCCATTTGACAACTGTGAGCTTTTATGGGCTTTAGTGAAGGCTCAAAAGCCAGATTAATAGCCTGGTGTTGGTTAATAGTCTGCCGAGAGTAAATACGCAGGCTGTGCTCGCCTGGGCCTTCCTGCCGCCGGAGGGACGGGCTCCCGCGAGCAGCGCCGGGCCACAGCGTCGCAGCGAGTTTTGCTGAAACAGATCCCACTGTTCGCAACACGCACCCTACCAGCACTTGTTTCTTCTCTTGTCTTTTTTCCCCCCTCTTTCTCCTTCAGGGTGATTTTTAGGCTTTCCGCGTGTAGGGAAAACAGAATTGCTTTTTCAATAACCGCTTTGAAAAGGAACTGTTTCATCGCTCCGCGAGTGTGGATGGCGGCGTGACACCCGGGGCCAAGGGTGTCCTCGGTTTCCTTGGAAGAGCCAGGAGCCTGACCTACCCACGCAGGGCAGATGTTGGTGGGAAGAGCGGCAAGGTGGGGGTAGGCGTGACTGGCAGGACCCCAGCCTGGCCTCGAAGGGGAATATTCCTCCCACGAGTGGTTGGGCTGGGCACTTTAGGAGGATGTGACCACCCAAGCCCAAGGCAAGACTCTGAGGATTCTGGAATAACAGACTCCGGCTGCAGGAGGCCAGTTCTGAGAACCGGCCAGTTGGAAAATGCTCCTAGAATCTTTCGGGAACAAGGAGGCCCAGGCGACCATCTAAGCACAAGATGATGAGGACAAAAGACCCTGAAGTCAAATTCCAGCTCTGCGGCCTCCACAAGTCCTGGAAGCTCCCTGGGCTGAAAATGGGGTGAACCGTCTGGGGGAAGGAATGTTCCAGTCTGTGAAATGGGGCTCACCGATCTTCCCCACGCTGGTTAGTGGGCCTTTAAACGACGAGCCAGAGGAGAGGATGGAGCTGGGGAGCTGCTGCCGTGCTATTGTTGTCGTCGGCAAAGTCCCAATTACTGCCGCCACAGGTGTGGAAACTGAGTCATCCGCCCAACAAGGCAGAGCCGGGGTTCGAGTCAAACTCCCTCGGCTCCGAGGCCAGTGAAAGCTCCTTCTTCCCCGCAGGCTGTTCGCTGAAAGCGATGGCAGGACCCCACGGAGGCCCGGGTCTGCTCACAGAGGAGAGAAGCACCCCCGGGACCCCGCCGCGCGGGGGCTCTGGGGCTCACAGGCAAGGCGGGCGGCGGCCTGCGGGGCTCAAGGAACTCGTACCCTTGGCGTGCAGCCTGCCCGGGCGGCGGCCCCGGCGGCGGCTGTCAGCTGGCCAGTGACTGGGAACCGGAGCGAGGGTGCGTCATTCATAGTCCACTGCCCGCGTGGGAGCCCGGCGGCCCGCGGCCTCACCTTCCATCTCTCCTCATTACGGCGCATTACGGGGAGGTGAAGCAGATTAACCAGAAAGCACGGAGTCAGTCATTACCGGCCTCGGAGCCCCCGGCGCAGGCCCGCGGGCGCGTCCGCCTTCTGAAGGACACGCAGCCAGCAGGCCGCAGCGGGCCCTCCCGGCGTCGGCAATTCCGGCCCCACCTCCACGGGAGCCTACCAGACCTGTCCCCCAGGCTGCCAACTGAGGGGCCCCCCGCCCCATTCATCAGGGCCCACAGAACCTTCTCCCTTGCCTTGCAGGTTCTAATCCACGTCCTACTGCTCCTGAGAGACTGGGCAGACGGAGCCGGTGCCTGCCTCATCCCTCCTCTCCCTGGGTGCCTGGCACTGGGCCAGCCTCATAGCCCGCGTGCAAGAAACAGGTTGGATGAATGAGCAGCGAATGTCTGAGCAAGTGAGTGAGTACACAGATGGACTCCTCCCAGTGAAGCCCTATGGTCTCTGCCCAGACTTCCTGGGCATTCCAAGTTAAATGAAATACGATACAGCCCCGAGTGTCACGTGAAACACAGAGGGGAACACAGTCTCTAACACTCAATGTCTGCATTAAGTGAACAGGAGCTTAATACAGGCACTGGAGGCTTCATGTGGTGGAGGCCAGAAATGCAGAGGCCCGAGCCCTCACTCTTGACCAAACACTTGCTGCGTGACCTTGGACAAATCCTGTCCCCTTGCGGGGCTCTACAACATGAGGGGGTTGAAAGCTTGCCTCTGCAGTCTCTGCTAGCTCTAAAGACGTGTGACCTGGTCAATGGTCAGAAGGTACATTTAATCCCTGATTCTGGAGGAAAAGGTAGGCCTTATCCAAGGAAGTTTCCTTTTCTTTCTCTTCCTGTGTCAGATGGAATGTGGCTTCAGCCATCTCTCAGAAGGGCTGTGAGCAGTGGGAGAGGCTGTTTGTGATGGAAACAGACTTCCTGAAAACTCAAGATCTTGAGCATGTGAGATCAACTCAGTCCAGCACATAGTACCACCTCATTCCCAGAGATTACACTTGTAGAAGAAAGACCAAAGTCTTAGAGTCTACAAGGCCTGGCCTATCTCCCCAATATCACTGTGCCCCCTCCCCTCGCCCCTGTGCCCTGATGTTCAGCCACACTGGCTCTCTTGGCTTCCTTTCCATTCCTCACTCTTGCCGTGCCCTCTCTTACCTCAAGGCCCTTGCACCTGCTATTCCCTGTGCCAGGCACATTTCCCGACACCCCTAGTCCCTTCTCCTGGTTCTGCCCTATACCTCAGGGCTCAGCATAAATGCAATTCCCTCTGGAGGCCACAGTGGCTCAGCCTCTACCTTATTCTTTCAGAGACCCTCAGACATCCCTGCCTCAGCACCTAGCACTTGTGTAATCCCTGACCTTTTGGGTTATTCTTAATTATGTGACTCATCCACATACCTGTAGGCTCCCTGAGGGCAGGTGCAAGCCTGTCTTGTTCACTGAAGCACCTAGTACCTGGCTTCATACTTTGCACATAGGTGATACTCCTCAGTGTTTGTTAAGTGAATGCACAACTTGCTGTGTGTGTGGTTTTAGGCAAGCCTTTCTGGGCTTCGCTTTCTCCATCTGAAAACACAGTGGCTAGATGGTCCGTGAAAGCCCTCATGGGAACTGCTCAGATGGCCAGACTGTCATAGGATGGTGGCCCTTGAGGCTTTGTTCACTCCTCACTACTCAACATCCCCTCTGGCATCTTTCCTCTCCGTGGGAGCCTGTGCAGCCAGCCTACCTGGTTCTGAACGGCTCTATGGGAAAAAGACAGAAGTCCCATCTAGTTAGCAAGTAGAGGAAGCTCAGCGAGGCCAGTCCTCACCACCAGTACCAGTAGCTACCTCTCTCTGACTTGCCCACCAGATGGGAGCACTCTGGAACCACAGGTGAGCTGCCTGTGCCTCCCAGGTAACCAGCCCAGACTGGGCATCAGAAAATAGCCTCCTGAGCTGAATCTGGTCCTTTAGGGACCGTATCCAAGGACTCAGGAGCCTCTCCCTGGGCAGAGCCTTCCTGGTCCCACAGCCAAGGCAGGGACTGCTTCTCTGTCAGGGTTAGCAAGAGGACATCCTCCTACTTCTTTCCCTCTCTTGCAAATGACCCAGCAGGAAGTTTGTCCAGTGTGACACTTCTTCATTTCCAGACTCTTGGATTCAGTCTCTAAAAGCATGCCAGGGTGACCCGACAAGTGAGCTGACAATGGGGTACACACTAGCACCATCGTCATGTGGTTTTCCGTCTCCACCCTGACTGACAGGATAATGACCCAAGACCACCTCGAGTGGCCCAGGAGATCATCACACCACCCCTGTGCAAAGAGCCTGGGGAAAGGACACCATTCAGCAACAGCAGAGCAGCCAGACATGTCATGTCGCTGCCCCCACCCCCCACCCCCCAGGCTGGCCAGGGGGGACGGAGGCACCAAGGCAAGAAGTTGCCAGAAACCCCAGACAAGTCCTCCTGACCCCGTGGGATGCTGCAACTGTCCAAGTCTGGCCGAGAACAACGAGAAGCCCATCTCTGAGTAGAACCTGGCGTCCTCACCCACACCCAGCCAAACGCTTTTGGGAGGGCAACCCGAGCCTGCGTCTGGCTGGAGGTATGGCAGGTAGTGAGTGGTGGGACATACCTGCTCGGGCTTGATGGGCTCTGTGGTGGTGAAGATGTCCGAGTAGTGCTGCCTCTCAAACACGCGGTCCAGCACCTCCAGCTGCTGCTGCGTGAACAGGTCTCCCCGCATCTGCTTCCGGAGGAAATCTCTGCCCGGCAGGGAGTGACCGTTTGGCACTGGAGATTCCTGAATACCTTTGATGAGCAGGAGACAGGAAGGGGGGGTGCAGGTTACAGAGCTGCTGCAGAAAGGCATGCCAGACAGTGAGACTAGGAAGAGGGGCTGCGAAACCCCCGAGCCCAGCTCCTTCCCGGACAGGAGAGGAAACAGAGCCAGCTCCCAGGGCACATGTCAGGCACCATTCCAAGCCCTTTTTACATACATCACCTCATCTGAAATTCAGTCACCCACGGTAGAAAACATTTCCCCATTTTGCTGATGAGAACATTGAGGCCTGAGAGATCAAGTAATTTGCCTGAGGATTGGAGCTCAGGTTGACTGGGACTCACTTCTAAAGATTTATTTATTTATTTGAGAGAGAGAGTAAGGGGAGGCAAAAGGAAAGGGAGAAGCAGACTCCCTGCTCAGCGCAGGGCCTGATGCAGGGCTGAATCCCAGGACCCCGAGATCATGACCCGGGCTGACATCAAGAGTTGGATGCTCAACCGATGGAGCCACCCAGGTGCCCCTGGAGTGGTAGCCTCAATGACCAGGTGCCACTGCCTCTTCTGCACTGAAGCTCCCCCACCCCTTTGAAGGTACAGAACTGATGGCCTCACCCAGGACATTTGCCACCACATCACATGACCAGTCAGTAAAGCTCCATGCCAGGACGGCTGTAGGGAAACAGCCTTCATACAATTCTGGTGGAAGCCCACTGGTCACACATCCGTGATAGACAATTTGACACAATCCATCAAAATCACAAATGCATATTTCCTTTGATAAAGCAGTTGCACTTCTAGAAATGTATTTTACTACTACACTCACACATATGGGAAGTGATGTATGTACAAGGTTCTAGTAGCAAAAGACTGGAAACAACACCAGAATTTATTTGTAGGGGCTGGCTCCATAAGTTATGGTGTGCTCGCACGGTGGACTACCGGGCGGCTGCATAAAGGAATGAGGACTCCCACTGTGAACCGAGGTGGAAAGATCTTCAGGATACACTGTCATGTGAAAAATAAACCAGGTACAGCACAGCATGTATAACATATAACTGTGTAAAAAAAAAAGGAAGAAAATAAGACTTTATGTGCATTTTGTATATATATCTCCAAAGGAACTCTGGAAGGCACCATGAGAAACATCGAGAGCACTTATCCCTCCTTTCCCAGAGGCAGGAACTGAGGGGGGAGAGGTGAAGGGAGGGACACTCCTCATCACGTGCTTTTTGTTTGCTTTGGTTTTACTGCAGAATTTTAAATGTACTGTCTACTCAAAAACATGCATTGCCAAGAAAGTACAGGATTAAATTTTCTATGTGTTCTGTATTGCTAGCTCTTCACACTGTAACAGGCTCTGGTGATGATGCTTACATTTTAAAGAAAATATTATGAGTTACCCATAAAAAAAGAAAATGGGATGAAATATCTTTTTGTGAGCTGTGAGCTTGAACCATTCAAAATGAAAGACAGCAAGGAGGGTAAAAAGTTTCCAGCAAGGAAATGGCCTGAAAGGCCCTCATCCCCCAGGGCCCCCTAGGACCCAGCTGCTCATGCAGGTCTGACCACAGACACTGCTGGAACCCAGGCCCAGAGGCGAGGCCTCTGCCTTTGCATGGGGAAGCCCCAGAGGAGACCAGCATGCATCAAATCTCTTGATGGCAGGTGCCTTCACACATGCCTTGCCTGATTCTCTGCTACATCCCACCTGCCAGCACATGCTGCCCTACACCTCATCCATCATGTCATGTGAGGAAGGAGACCACACCAAGAGCCCAAAGCAGTGAGATGCTGTGCCAGAGATGCTGCCAAAAGCAGGTGTTTCCCCAACTGTCCTATCTGGGGGAAAGTGCAATGCAGGGTCTAACATTTCAGCGAAGACACCACCTGTGGGTGTTCACATGCATAATGGCCTTCCAGAGCCCAACATGGAGCCTGACAGCTCAGAGGACCCCAGTATCTCTATGGGAAGGGCTTTCATAGGCAGTTCATAAAGCAACTTGAGCAAACAGATCCCACCTCCCTTTTGACCCAAGAGGATACCACAGGCTAGGCTACAGCCTGAATGACCAGATAACCCAACATGTGGGCCATGATGGAAGCTGGTCTCTCTGGCCAATGTCTCCCAGGCTAGAATTTAGGCCCCTCTTCTGGCCACCTGTGACACAAGTCTTCCACAAGAAGACATCATCCTCAGAGTCCCCTCTATCCCCATGAAGACCATTCCTACAAGGACATTGAGAGCAGCAGAATGTGGGAGCTCACAGCCCTGTCTGTGCCTCCCTCATTAGTTGGCATCTGCCAAATGGCCCTATTATCAAAGGTACACACACACACACACGGGAGGATGCTCATCTTGCTCCTCCTCAGCTATTACTCTAGCCTGTCACCTTAGGTCCAGTCCCTCCTGCTGAAGTATGACCTTGCCCTGGGTCCCCAATGCTCCCATCAAGTTTCTCTACCACACCTCACTTATACTTCCCAGCCACATCCTGCCAGCCAGGCCCCAAACTCCTAAGGAAGGATCCTATCAGCTGGTCCCTGATGACAAAGGGACCACCAAGGCCTCACTCTGCCCTCAGGTAATGGCCATCCCTTCCCTCCCACTCGGGCTGGTCCTCCCACAGATGTCCTCAGGCTCACTCCCTCTCCCATGGGTTTCACAGGCTGGGCTCTTTGACAGCTCAGAATTCTAGAAGGGCAGAGCTCCACCTCTACTAAGGAAGCTAAGGGTGGCTCCACTAGGGGCTCTCCTGAGGGCAAAGTCACCCTAGTCACTGAGTATGGCCCAGCACAAAGTAAAGACCCAGGGTACATGGCCAACTCATGTGTATGCACTGGGGGTCCCTGGAAGCCTAGCTCCCTAGCAGACACAGGCAGCCCTGCAGGGACCCAAGCCATGTTCTAGGAAGAAGACTTGCTGCATCCTGCTCTGGTTTTCTGAAAGTCAACCACAGCACCCACGGGCCAAGTCTGTGAGAGGGTCCAGGCTGTCTTGGTGACCTGGACACTCATAGTGGAGGACAGCAAGGTGGGAAGAACCACCTCTCCAGGCGTGTGCCCTGACCTATGATCCCTCCTACTCCTCCTCGCCCCTCCAGCACCCCCACTTGCTTTCTCTACCGGGGTGGGAGGTGAGGTAAGCCTACCTCGTCACTTTGCGCAGATGCCTGACATTGCTCATTTCCTTAGGAGGCTGGGACACTTCTACACATATAATCACCCATTTAACAAATATTGATGAAGTGTTTTGTACCAGGGGATGTTTAGAAAAAAAAAAAAACAAGAAAGGATACAGCGATGACTACGACAGGCCCCTCTCTCCAAACTAGAAAGGGCAGTACTCACACAGACATATGGCTACAAACTGTGATTGCGGCCAAGTAGAAAAAGTGTCTAGAAACATATGCAAAGGACTCTGGATGATGGAGAAGGGGTGTGACCACACGGGGAGGAGTCAAGGAAGTCTTCCAAGGGGAAGTCATGCTTGAAAAGTAGACAAGGGGTCAGGAGGGCACAGAGGATGGGGTGGAGAGGGCATGCCAGGCAGAGGAGGCCGCCCACAAAGGCTTAGACATGAGAAGGTGACGAAAGACATGGTGAGGGCAAGAGACCCCAGGGGGCTGTGGAGAGGCTGTGGGGAGATGGCCAGGCAGCCCCAGAACCCATGGAAAGCCATGGGGAGGATCTGATTCCCGCTAGGGTAGCGGTGCGGGGGCCCCAGGAGGGGCTGGGGAACAGTCACTCTCCACCCTGAACTGCTAGTTCCTTTACATCAGGCTGTGTTTTCGAAGCCCTGCGCCCAAGCCTCATCCTTTGGAAAGACTAAGGGCCAGCAACATGAAATCCACACTGTGGGCATCTGAATGCGATGCATGGGGTCAGGCTGTCACCCACAGGCCAGCCGCCGTGCTGCTAGGGAAGGTGAATCATTACCCGTTGCCGTGTGCACTGCTGCCAGGACAGACAGCCTGTGAACATGCAGGCCTCCTCCTCCAGGATGCCTTCCTTTCTGCTCTGGCTGCTTCATCTCCTACTCCCCGGGCTCTGACCGCTTTCTCCTTTTTCTTAGAGTCAAACCCACTGGGCCCTTCACTCTGACACTGCACTATTAGCTACCTCATCTTGCTCTCCTCCACGGGGAGTATTTGTGGAATAAATGAACAAGTCAGTAATACCTGTGACAGCCACCTTCATTCCGCAGGTCTGGTATGCAAAGATGGAGCATCCCTCCATCTCACCTCATTCATTCAATCATTCATTCTTCTCTTAACCAACCTCAGTGAGCACATGCTAATGCTGGCCTACGGCAATGGGCAAGAGCATGGCCCTACCCTCATGTACTTCTGTTCAGTGGAGGAGGCAACTGTTAATTGAAAAATAATCAGACCAGAGAAGGCACACATGCCAACCAAGATAAATACTCTGACAAAAAGATGCATAATTCTTAGGCCAGGGACACAGATGACCTACCTCTGGGTGCCACACCTAGTGGGTATATAGCAAGTATGAGCCAAACCAACCAAGTATATGCTCAGAGACAGCTACGAAAATGAATCCCCAAAAACCATCCCTGGCACAAGGGCAGGTCTGAACCTCCAAGTCTCCAGTGGAAGTCGTAGCCTTTCTCATCTGTGCTGCAAAGATACTGTCTGACTTCACTGGGGAATGTGGTCTTGGAGACAAGCTACAGAAACACTCGGATCCATTTTATTCCAGGGAGAAAAATCTGGACTCACAATGTGAATAGTATGCTTAAATATATGGACAGACATGGGCAAAAGTACAAAGGTATACAAGGGGCATGGTATCTTTAAATCTTTTTTTCTACTCCAAATCAAATAATATGTAATAGACCCAGTGCTGGGCTTAGTCAACCATGGCTCGTAGAATTAACATTCTGGAAGCTAGCTTCAGGGGAGCAAGGGGCAGGAAGCCCCGTCTCGGGGAGCAAAGAAATGCTGGCTTTAAATTTCAGGTTAAACCAATGTTATTCACAACCCGGCTTTGAAGCTAAAAGCTTTACA